TGAAAATATTGTCGGGCATAAACCGGTCCGTGGCACAAAAAAGGTTGGAGGCCGCTGACATAAGTGATTATTGTGCTCCATTTGTTCAACACTGATGCTCTTGATACCCCTTTTACACCCTGTTCTTTGTGATAGCTTTACCTCACATTTCATCCCTTCTGAATAAAGTAAGATAAATTCACTCCTACAACTACAACAACGTCTTCTATAACTGAGGAGTCCTGGTCATTTGCACGTTCTCTTCCACAAATCCTCATCAGAAAATCCTCACATGTGAGATGTTGGAAAGAAGGAGGTTAGATTAAAACATGTTTCAAATGAAAGGGCCGCACTCACCTTGTAGTGGAAGGCATCTGGACACTGCTTGCACTGGTACATCCGGCTCTTGCAGTGGTGGATCATGTGGTTTTCCAGGTCTTTGCTGTCTGAGGCGATGTGCTCACAGATGGGACACTGATACGGCTCCCTCTGCCTGTGCACCCGCAGGTGCTGTTTAATGTAGCCCTTGTTGCCACTGCTGTAGCGACACAGGCGGCAGCGATACGGCCTATCGCTGCCGGGGATGTAATCCACCAGACTGCTGTCAGGAGAGCCGACCAACCCGTCCATCCCTGGAACACTGGAGCACACGTAACTGCCCGCTCCGTTCGCCGCGACCACTCCAGCTCCATTTTGGAACTGTGCGTTATCTTGAAGCTCTTTCAAGATGTCTTCGTCCGAGGTGTTCTGGTCTGAGCGCTCCCTCAGTCTTTCAATGACCGTGAGCAGGGAAAGGCTGATCCCGCCATTAGCTGCAGGCCCGTCGTCGTCTCCTTTGCCCAGGCCCAGAGATCCTAGAGTTTCCTCTCTGCCCTCATTACAGTTCAGCATAGCTGCTGCCGTTCCCACGTCAGAGGCCTTCTGTCCGGCTGCAGCCCCCTCTGTGGGTTTCTGGGCTGCTTGCGGGCTCTGCGCCTGTGCCGGAACGGTCTTCAGAGCTACCTTGGCGCCAGAGTTGGGCAGCTCGGGCGTCCTCATAGGCATAGCCACGAGGACCTCGGCAGCCAGCGAGTGGAGGCGGAGAGACTCAGAGTGCGTCCTCTTGCGACCAGCTGGGGGGACGTTTTCATCCCGTGGAAGGTCGTTACTTTTAGTGATGGAGGATTTGATATCGGCTCCTAAATGCTGGCTTTTGTTAGTGTTCCCCGGACTGTAGCAGAGGACCACCTCATCTTTCACACCTTCCACATGCTCCTGCTCTTCTGCTTTTTTCTCCAGTAAGCTCTTATCCCCGTCCACATCTGGGCTGAGAAGAAGTGGGTTAGAGGACATGACTGAGTCTTCAGCTGAAGGAAGCCGCTCTACGATCACATTGATATGGCCGGCGCTGTTGGGGCTTCTGTTGATGATCTTCTGAGCCGATGACAGCAAGCTGTCGCTCACAGAGGTGCTTTCATGGTGACCGCCTAGCTCCACCTCCGTCGCTGCCTCAGTGGTCACCTGCACCTCCACCACGGGCTCCTCAGACGTCAGGTCTTTGATGGGGTACTTGTCCTCTTCCTCTACTGTTTTTGGACTTTCACTGAGATGAGAGCCTTGAAGATTCAGCACTTCCTGTTTGTCCTCGACAGCCACGGGCATGCAGAGCTGCAGCTTGAAGCCGGTAGGGAGCTTTTGCAGGCTTTTATCTTGAAGAACAACTATTTCCTCTCTGGCTGACGCATTGTTAGGAGCAGCTTGCACCTCTCTCTTTGCAGAACCTCCGTCTTCATCCTCAAAGATTGGATAGGAGCAGTCGACGAGGCCGGCGTGCTTCCAGGCGTGGGTTTTGAGCATTCGCTGCTGACTGCAAACATAGCTGCAGATCAGGCAGCGGTACAGGCCATACTCCTCATAGCTGTACCACTTCTTCTTCTGTGGTAACTCCTTAGCACTGCTCACTGAGCTTTTCTTCACTTCAGTTCCTGCGCTGCAGTCGTCACCTGTTAGATCCACATCCTGCTTTTTTAAAACCTCTTCCTTCGCCTCACTCACCGGGTACTTTCTCTTCTGGTTGTCTCCATTGTCAAAGTGCATCCTGACGTGCGCCTCCAGCTGCTCGTGGTCTCTGGAGGTAAAGTGACACTCGGAGCACATGAGGATGAGGTCACTGTGCTGCTCGTTGTGCTGCTTCAGGTGTTCTTTCAGCAGGGGCAGTGTTTGGGCGAGATGGGGGCACAGGCTGCACTGATAGCACGTCACCGTCCGCTTGAGGTCGCTGCTGTTGGGGTTGGCAGCTACCTCTGCCACCGTGGTGGTCACGTTGTTGTTATCATCACCTGACCAAGGTGAGGGAAGACTGCTGTCATCTGTGCTGCGCTCTACTCCCACCTCATCCTTATAGTTCCTTTTAATTTTCTTACATATAGAGCCGCCCCCCTGCTCAGCTCCCCTTTCCCCCACTTGCAGCGCTCTTTTCTGTCCCCCTGATGTGCAGCGACGCTGGGGCCGCTTCTCCACAATCTTGCTGAGCTTCTTTATGACCCGGATGAGAGAATCATCTGCCATTTTCTGCTGAAAACCCTGGGAGGGTTGCTTCTCTTTGGTTTGCCGTGTGTGGGAGCCCAGTGCCGCCGATGTGGAGGAGGAAGACGAGGCAGCGGATGAGTGTGTGATGACATTAGTGATCTCCTCCATGACCTGGAAGACAGCAGAGAACAAAGTAATGAGTGAGGAATCTGATTGGTGTTACACAGTAAACCTTTTAAGTAGATGACCTCATTTATAATATAAATACATTTTTAAAAAATTAGAGCAAAGAAGTGTGGCCAAAAATGTTAGACATAAAAGACGGAAATAGCTTCAACATCTGAAAAGTGAAACCAATGTGAAAGAACATCCAAAGTGCATTATTTTTAGTGGTAGACAGAATTAGCAGGACAGCTACTATTCAAGGCCGCTGCTGGTTATTAGACGTAGGAATCCCCAGATATGAAACTGCTATAGTTTGAACTGGGGAAAGACATGGTGCTGGTCAAGGCTCCACATCCATCATCTGCCCTCAGTGCAGTTTTTCACTTTCTCACTCTGCAATGCAGTGTTTCTCTAACTGTGGGGCACAGACTCAGTGCAGGTCAATGCAAGATAGGGAAATTTAAAGAACCACCGTTTAAAGCTCCATCTCTGACCTCCTGCTACCCACAAGACCCTCGGGCAGAGGTCTTTTGTCTGTTCCAGGGACCGTGCCGAAAACAGTGCAAAGTGTTTGAAGTTGAGGCCTGGAGGATGTGGAACAGCCTGCCCGGGGAAATCCCGATCTTCAAGTCGTGTCTTAAAACATACTTTTACAAGAAGGCCTTTCCTTTGCATTTCTCACAACAGTTATTTTTGGTTTATTCTGATACTCATGTAAAGCACTTAGTAACATGAAATTTGAAAAGTTGTACATGAATACAGTTATCATGTAACACAGTTAAAACACAGAGTCATACGTTCAGTTTAAGAGATCTAAGACCTAAGACACGACCAGCATCTGTCATGTTTTTCAGTTCGTTCCACACGATGATCTTATTTTATTTTACTGCGCTTTCATGAAGCCCTTTTTTGTCCTTTTCCCTTGTTTCATTGTTGCGAAGTTTTTCTGCAACGAACAGAAACTGGCTCATTCAAATTTTTACTAACAGGCCACAGCTGAACGTACACCAGGCAGTCACGACGGTTGACTGGTTCGATTTTACTCGACTTGCAGCTGTTGCAAAGTGAGTTTCACTTTCTTCTTCTGGACAAAGTCCCAAAGTGCAGAAAAACAGCTTCATTCCAGCACCAATCACTCAGAGGATCAAATCATAGCTTCACCATTATTTTTTCCTTCATTATGTTTTGCAATGCTTACCCGTTCTTAGCGTTTCGTCTGCAGAGTGTACATATGATGAAGGACGACTTACCTTCCTCAGACCAAATCTACCTACAAGTACAAATAAAGCAACCTGTAGCTGTGTGTTTGGAAAGAAACAGGTTTGCGGTGCTGCGTGTCTTTGATGGTTTGCAAAGAGTAAACAGTTAAAACGATCTCCGAGCTACTGAAGATGATGTCATTCTTCGTTTCGGTCTTAATAATGTTCAGGAGCTTTATGAACATCATGTAGCAGGTGTTGGTGTAGTGAAACGCTGTGGACAACAGTGGACCATAACTTCAGCACTTCTTAGGTGGACGATGATGAAAATCTGACACGTATCTACAAAACAATGTTTCTGTGGCCTGAATGTTGAACTGCTCGCTGTTGCGAAGTGTCCATGTTGCTCGCTACAGCTCTCCCTCATCGCTTCTGCTGTATGAAATCAGTTTGAATCAACACACTGTTTGGATTCCTCCATCAGCTGACTGTGGCTGTGGTGAATGGCTATGGATAATTAATGGGCTGTGACCACACTCTGCGACACTTACTGGCTTCACTGCCAAGAAGACAGACACAGAAGATCTGTATCAAACCGCCTCATTTCACGATTTCTGGGGGACTTTTGCCTTTACTGGAAAGGACAACTGCAGAGAGCAGCCTTTTGGCACGTGGGTGACCTGATCAACACCTGAGACACTCAGAGGGTCAATCCTCCCTCATTTATATATTGTACATATAGTAACTTGTTATCCATCCTTTATTTCATAATTTACTCCAACATCTTCACACTCTGCACAACAAACATGCTGTGTTGTTGTCAGCACTGTCTGTTGTCTATCTACACTCTCACTTCCTCACATGTGTACACATACTTACTCAATAAAGCTGATCCCACATTTCAGGCTTAAGCTCCATATTGGATCACATCTACATTTTTATTTATTGAATCACTTTTTTAAACATTCAGTTTAACTGACCTCCTTCTTGTATAGTATTTATTTTATTGAACAAAAACATTTTTTGTGTTGTTGGATCCGACATATCCTGTTGATTCATCATATAAATGCGAATTTTATGCTTTTTAGAAGGATTAAATTGTATGATGCATTCCTAGCTAGCTATAAATTGGATGATCTTGTAATTAAAAAAAGGTGTTAACTATTAAAAAAAACCCTCTTGTGTGGCACACTTTGAGAATCACTGCCACACAGACTGCAAAATCATTTTGATCTTTCTCTGTCTTTTAAAATAAATCTGTACTAATGACATTTATCACTTGAGTATTTACCAAGAAGTTAGTGAGAGGAAATCAGTCAATCGACTAATGGGATAAGTGTGACAGCTTAACTCATTCCTGATAAGTCCTGTCCCTGCACAGTCAATACAGACCTTGTGCACCATGTGCATTTGTTTACATGGGAAGCTGAAGAGGAAACGGGCACAACTGCTGTGGCTGAATTCCTTCCATCTCCACATGACATAACACTGCCCTCCTTCTCACTTTCTGACCACAAACTTCCTCTTTCTCCTACTTCTGCTTCTGTGTGAAAACATCAAAACATGTGGAACAGACACATGTTTTGATGTTTTGATTTCGCCGTGGTTTTCCATGGGAAGGAAAACCACGGCGGGATGTTGTAGTGTATTCATCCATCCAGCTGAATTTTGAATTCTGTGATGAGGAGGGATTCAAAATAAGCTGCATCCGACTCCTTTTTATGCGCCTGCGATCAGTCAGCTTCTCTCTGGACTCCATCATGTGCTTTAACCCGTCTCAGATGAGCACCTGTTATGTCAGGATCTAAAAATATTCCATCCACTTTCACTCCCCTGTAGGACGAAGTTGCACACAGCCTCTCGGTGTGAGCTCTCACACAAAAAGCAGCCTTTTACCCGCTGATGTGAGCCAACACACTGCTGCTGCCTTCACGCTACAAAAACACTTTCACGTTTTTAAAAAATGGGAAAAGTCAAAAGGATCCTGGCACACGCTGTTAGCTCCGCTGTTAGCCTCACAGCCTGCTAGTCAAACACACACACACACGAGTCTCACACACTGCTAGCAGAGGAACACATGAATGTACAAGGACGCGTCCGTGCTGCTGGTGGTTAATGGGTAACGGAGGAGCGCGAAGGTGTGTGGAAATAAAAATATACTCACGGACACGGAGAAGTTTGGCGCTCTTTGTCCTCAGCACATAAACCGCTTTCTTTTATTCGTTAGCCATAAAAAGTGGCCCCTCTCTCTCTCTCTCTCTCCCACATTGCAAAATGGCGAGGATGGAATAACAGTCACGTGACTCGGAGTTTGAGTCAGGTGACCGACGCCGACCGACGATTGACAGGCTGTCTTGCTGTTGCCTTCAAGTACCCCTCGTAAAAAGCAATGCTTTTAATTTTTCTTACAACTTAACCAACCAGTGCGGTAATTTCCACAATAAAGAGCATTATATTTTTAACTCCTTAAATTAAGACGATAACCAGAGGCGTTGCTTGAGGCCCAGGCCAGCGGCGCCCCCCCCCCCTAAAAGCTGACAAACTTTATATTTTTACCACCCTAAGGGGCCCCTAGCTGCCTTTACTCAATCTAGCTGTCAGGGGTGTGCATAAAATAAATGCTGTTTGTCTGAACTGTGGAAAACTAGCATCACATTATTTATTTTATTTACTGTGATATTTAATATTAAAGCCACATTTTTGGTTTATTTAATGTCAGATTATGGTAACAAACGTAAGGCCCTTGGGGCCAGAACCGTCGGCAAAGACTGATATCTGGCCCACTGCATAGGTTTGGAAAAGAAGAAAACTCTTCTTTCTTACCCAGCAGATTAACTCAACATCAGCCACTTAATTGAAGTGAAGTCCAAACAGCTCTGAAATGAGCACAACCTCCTCACTTCCTCTGTCAATCTGGTTGGGTCTAAGTTTAGATTAATATCTGCCACATTTTTAAAAATTGTCACCTATTTGGTACACCGGGGCCAAATGACATATGTGCAACTTCAATGGAAAGTTAGATCTGAAATCCTAAATAAAACATTTCCAAAGTTTGTGACACCTTAAGAGTTTCTGCTCAAGGCTGTGTGTGGAGAGGGGTTAAATTTTGGTCATCTCAGGCACGCAGCTCTTGCTATGAACACAGAGGCTCCACACTCCTGTTATCCAAGCCTTCATCTTGGCAGAGGCAGCCAATCAGAATAAAGTTAGTTCAAAGGGAGAGGGCACAGAGCTGCTTGTTTCAGACAGAGCATGAAGTGAGCGGGTGCACCAAGACCCAGTGTAACTGAACTCTGAATTATGCAAATCAACTCTGAGCAGAATATGCAGAAAACATGAACATGCACCGGCAGTTTGTGCCTCTCACTTAAAACGTTCACTCACTAGTTGATGGAAGAGATGTTGAGAGGGCATACAAACCTCTCTAACCCAAACCAACAGGAACAACCTGGTGCATTTTTATTGTTAGGTAGTTATAATACACAGTCATACATGGGCAATGCTTCTACCACTTACAGTCTGAGAGAACCAGAATGATGACTGTTTAATCATTGCAGATATTGTCCATAACCTTGTATTGTACATGTACATGTATGTATTAAAATCGTGCTTATCAAAATGCACCTCGTTCAACTCACAGTTGTCTTTTCCTCCGTCTTTTTCTTATGCTTACGTTTTACAACAACACCAAGACATTCCAATAATGGTGCAGTTTATTTGTGCTTTCCACCAAAGTCCTGGTAGAAGAATTCAGCACAGTAAAATTAAATGCAAATCACAGCATGCAGGAAACAAATCAGGCCACTTCATTTCAATATAGTCAGATTTGCAATGTGTGTTTACGTTCATGATTTTGCTTTGACAAATGTTTTTATTGCCTAAATGTATTTTTATATCTGTGTTTATTGCGTTTGGTGAGTGAGAAACCCATAGGCTATAAATTCTGCACACTAAAGGACTAGTTTGATTCCTGCCTCTGGCAAAACTCTGATTTACAATTATTTACATTAATGCCGGCAAAACACGGCTCCAAATATCATGCGTTTAACGACACCACTGTTAGTATCTTTTTATATTTTACTTACAGTAGCTCAAAAGTGATATAACTTTATTCTTTCAGTTTAAAAAAAACTTGTTTGTTTGGTGGTTTTTTAGCTGAAACAACAAAGTAAAATGTGATTTTTTTCCCTTTTTATTTTGGATTCTTTATGCTGCTGCTGTTGTTCGGCTGTAGAACAAATTTAGAATAATCTGATGTCTTCCTGACTGCAGTGGTGTGATGGATAAGAGTTTTCGAAGAATGGAGACCTCTAATTCTGCCCAAATCACCAAAATACAGTCACAGAAGTGCAGCCTGAACTGTGCAGGAAGCTCCATTCTGCCTCACTGCTGCTTGCAGATGATTATCGTTGTGTCTCTCAGTCCTTTAAAGTTAAAATGCCCTATGAAGACACAGATTTTTGATTCTGTTATTTGTCTGTGCTGTTGCACACAGACTGCGGCTGCACAGATTCTAGAGCTCACTGGTTTCTGGGCTGATAACAGCTCTGGTTCATCTCGAGGAGTCTCGTTGTCTGCTGCAACCTTCACCGTTTCTTTGTTATTCTTCAGGAGAACTCTGACAGCACATCTGGAAACACCTGCCTGCAGCAGAAGTCTACCCACAAGACCCTGCTGAGTTTTGTTCTGTGCTGGGAACAAAGCTGCAGAGGAATACCACTCAAAGCACTTTTGACAACAACACAATGTACTGTGTTACTTCTTCCATTGCTATGACTACTGCTATTTTTGTAAATATCATCTGCAATTTTAACTGAAGCTTTCATTACCCAGGAGCAGCGTGTTACCAGTGCCGAAATAGTTTCCAAAGTGCACTGCTGTTGTTTTGATTCTTTTTTAGCCCTTTCCCATATTTCCTCAGGAAGCCTTGCCGTTAGGTTGTAAATAAAAATGTGATTTTAATGACTTGCCTTAAAGGCGGATTCATCTTGTGGTACAAATTACTGAATGACATGACCCCAGTTCAACCTCACTGGAAGTTTCTTCGGCACAAAACACAGATGGGCAGTTACAAATGTTTAATAATATCCCTTTTCTTTGAAGGTAACAATGTGATTATGATATGTTCGATTCTTTAATGTAATAACTGCAAACATTTGTGGTAATTTCTCTGTAATAACCAAGAATCAGGGCTATAACCTGTTCTAATACTACTAATACTAACCCTACTAATAGTAGTAAGTAATCCAAGAATCCAAGAGGTATAATGTTTAGTTGGTAACAATTTTAGGAATTTTTATATCTTAACCAAAAAATAGGGTTGTAAACTAGAAACCTTCATATAGAAAAAATGGTAATTGTATGCTAATTAAATTGTTTTTACTTCTGCAATGCACTGTCTGTGTAGGCTCTCAGTAATCCCGGTCATGGCAGCCTTGAGATGTTAAAGAAAGAGGGCAGCTGGACTTCTTTAGGTTCTGGTCAACACTGAAGCTGACACTCCGTTTACAGAGGAAGGAACAGGTTTTGAATGTGTTTTAAGTAAATTCCCAACTGGGCCTTTATCAAATCAGTGAGGATTCTCAGGAAACAAGGTCAGACACCAACCTGTGAGAAACCGAATGACAAACAGAACAACACTGTCAAAAAAGTTTTTCAGAGAAAGTTGAATTTTGTTGAATCCCGGAGGACTAGCGACGCCCTCAGACAGAAACTAAACAGCTCTACAGTGCAGCAAAGAGTCCTCGGGTCTCTACGCAGGAAAAACAAAAGGCACAAAATAGAAGAATCACCTCAACAGGACTCAGCTGTACATCTGCATCAGAAGGTCAAAGGTCACTCTTTTCAGGATGCTAGTGTTTACATTTTGGACCGAGAAGACTGATGGTTTGAAAGACGAGTAAAGGAGGCCATCTATATCTATTGTGAACGATCACCGTTGAACAGAGTGGGTGACTTAAGACAGCAGCTATCAGCCAGTCCGGAAATCTGTTCCCAGGAACTTCAACCCCGCTCAGGTGAACTCAACAGGTCACATATTTTAAAACAGAGGAATTTGTATATTTTAACATATATTACTGCTGTTTTTAATATCTTACTACACTGGTCACTTCATTATGTTTCTTTACACTCTTGGAGGACCTGAACTAATTTTTATTCCAACCACAGAGTGAGACATTTCAGCCTCACGGTCTGCGCAGCATGCCAATGAATTACCAAACTGTGAGAATTAAAAACAGACACTGTAAAGATGCTGATCTGTGTATCTGGTATTCATGTGTTAGACTTGGATTCAATGCTGCATTTCTTCTAATGACTGTGCAGAAGCCAAACCTGCTGGGATTTCAGAAATATAGACTGTAGATTTAATAGTTTTTTTAATGACAGAAGAAATTATTCATCAGTAGACGAGTGTGACAAATACCCACCAGAGAAGGACATTTCTAAACCCACTGAGGGAAAAAAGACTGCTGTGAAGAAGGTGGGAACCAGCATATGGTGATATAAATATCTGCTGTCAGTTCCTCTGTGGGCTGTGGAGATGAACAGGTTACCGCTGTGAATCACATCATATTCAGTGACCAATGACGCTCAGATGAAGCTGTTCAACAAAGTGTTATTGATCTGCTGAGAGGTCAAAGATTCAAGGACAGGTGAAACATGTAACAGTGCGTGCTGTCCACACAGACTGTATATAAATAACGGGCACATCCTCCAAGGTCTCTCCAGGTGAAAAGTGAAGCTGCTACAAAACCTGCATTCTTCATAATGTGCAGCAGGGGGCGACTCCTCTGGTTGGAAAAACATTTCAGTTGCTAATTTTTCATCTTATTTAACGCAACATGACATTAATTTTTGGAAAATATGATCCTTTCCACACAGCTTCCTTAAGCCCAAACAGCTCCTCTTCTCTCCACCACTTCTCGTGCTCACGCTCATTCAGTTACACGGGGACAGGTCCAGGGGAGATCTGCACACATACAGACAATCGGTTAGTTTCCAGGTTCAGAAGTACTCACAAGTTCAAATTGCAAGTAGCAGGGCGACTGACACTGATGGCTCAACGATCCAGCGACGAGTAGAGCCGGTCTGCCATCTTAAGTAGCACGCCAATCGTCCTAATCAGCGGCAGGTGTGCTGATCATCCCCAGGTGCGTGGGCCAGGGGAGAGCAAGAGAGAAAGAGAGAGCAGAAGCGAGAGAGGGGAAAAAACAAAACATAGCGTCTGACAGACGTCAGCTGGCGGGATGCGGGGATCATGACAATTATCCACATCTCTGTCTTTCTTTCACAGCGTTTATAACTTTGAGAATAACCAAAACTTACACAATGAACTTCATGTTTTATTCAGGATGATCTGAAACAATGAAACCATCAGGAAGGTGTTTAGCCAGGAGCTGTTCTCTCATAGACTGATACTGGAAGTCTTTGTACAACCCCAGGTATCAGCCTCTGATGGCCTTTAAAACAAACACAGGTTTAAGACACATGTGGCCTTTACAGTTAGGAGCTGGACAATACACCCATCTTTTATACTTTATATGATTAGAACTCATGACTCAGCCCCACTGTTGAACTGACTGCCATGTTCCTTCCTCACCAGTGGTTTACTGGATCCAGTGACACATAGATGTCCTTCTCAGGAACTGGGCCTGAGAGACTTACAGTATGTCACCCTACACAACCAAGGGTGAACAGATTCAGGGCTATGCACATACTCACAGAGCTGGGGTTACCTCCGCTAACAGCTACTGTTTTGAGGAGGACTTTCTCTACAGGAGGGGTCTCAAACTTAAGCGAGCAGCAGGCCACGGCCACTTTTGTCTTCAAGTAGTACAAAAAAACAAACAAACAAATGAGAAAACACCCACAAATATTTCTGAAAATGTAGTGTTTTGTTTAAATTTCAAATATTGTCTGACCTGACAAAATTAAAATGCAGACATAAGCGTACACATTAGTTTTTGACTCTCACTGAACTAACACAGCCAGTCCCTCGACATGTTTGTGCTCTCTGATCATGTTGCCATCATATTACATCATTTTTAGCTTTTTAAAGAACTTATTTTAACATTGCACTCAACAACAAACAAATTCTCCCTCACAAAAAAGTAACTTCGACAGCCAAATTAAATTTCTTCAGGTCAAAATACGGGCCGCAAGTAGGGGTAACATGGGCTACAAGTGGCCCCCGGGCTGCGAGTTTGAGACCCCTGCCGTACAGTCTTCCTGGATGGGCATGTTTTACCAGTGCATCTGCCCATTTATGTTTTAGTCATCTTAAAAGCTTTATCAGAAATTAAGCATTGCTCACTAAACAACTGTTCAACCGAAGGTAACATAAACAAGCTTATTATATATACACTCCTCATAGCATTCTTCTATATATCAGCCATGTCTGCATAAGCAAACGATAAGAGCAAGAGACCAAAAAATATGTTATCCTAATGTAAACAATGATCTGTAATAAATGTCTGGTTCTTTCACTGCCACAAATACAAAGTACAGAACCAAATGTGGATTATACTCGTAATAAAATGCCGAATGAATTTATTTCCTTCTGTGTGTCGAAGAAAAAACAGATCGTGCATCTGTAAGAGTTTGCTTGGTTTCTGGGTTTTAAATCAAACAATATCTGTCTGCTGACAGTTAATGCTGTTTACTGAAATAACATTTAGACTGCAGGACTCGTTAATAGTAATTCTTTATTTTTACAAGTGGTGTTACTCTCTTTACTTAAGTACAGTACAATGTGGTATTATTACTTAGTAAAGGATCAAAATATTTCTTCCACCACTGTGCTTTTATGGTATTTCTTGACAGTAAGAAAATACGGAGTATTTCCATCCTTTAACGTTTGTCCATAAATGTGAAATTCTGTGATAAATATTTGTTAGAACATAAAAATTACAATAAAAACAAGAAAAAGTGCTGTTTAATATAAAAACATTCACAATGTGAACTCATCTCAGTTTAAAAAGAAAATCCACACAGATTGAAAATAGATAAACATTCTGCTGTTAGAAAGCATCAGAGCAAAAAAGCTTTCTTTGGTTTTCTTTCATCGTATGTAAAGTCACAACGTCTCATGTTGCCATGACAACCACTGACCTGTGAGGGTAGGGCATTGGGGTGGCGATGGGATATATCCCACCATCAGTAATAACAGATATCCAAAGATTCACCAGTCACAGGCACAGCTGTACGGAAAAGTCTGAGCAGTTTGTTTCTCTGTAATTAAGAATTTTGCACGTTAAGAGGCTTATTTTCAGTCTTTGTTTTGTTCCTTTTAAGCACTAAATCTACCTGGTTGCAGCAATGAAAAATATATTTCAAAATATATTTCCACTTTCTGTTTTCGCCCCTCTTAAGGTAACAGCACGTATCCTTTCATTTTCTGGGGGATGACATTTTTCAATTTCCACTTAAAAATGATGAAGATCAAGAAAAAGAATCAACAGCACATCTGCTCAACAGAAAAGACGACGGAAACCCCCATCAGGGGGCAGGAGTGAAGGCTCATAAATCACTATTCAGCACTAAACATCATCCTCGTGGAAAACCTGACCCACCACCTGATTACATCTGTCAGCATCTAATGCCTGCAGAGCAACATCTGGACAAGACGGAGCGGTTGTGGCAGGAAGCGCTTCACAGGGGGAGTGGACTGAGTGGTGGGTACGAGTAACAGTGCATTAACATTTAAAGTCATGCTCATTTGCCCAGAAGGGGGCTTACATTTGATAAACATCCACTTTATCTCAACATCTACTGCTCTAATGATCGTTAACTGATATCTTTAATAGCATTTTTGTGACTTCACAAACTTTCTGTAGCGCCGCCCTCAGTAAAAACTTTATGTGGCAGCCATCTATAAATCATCAGAATGCTTGTTCACATTATTGCTGTAATGAGCTCTGCGGCCTATAGAGGGCACTAACAGCACGTTACACGGTTAAATCTGGAACTCTTCACCACATGCGTCGGTGTGTTTCCAGAGGCTTTCTAGTAGGAGGAAGCAGGTCTGGCAGGCATCAGCTTATCCTGGTTTACAGGGACGTCAGTTCTCACAGCGCTGCTCTGAGGTCAGACCATGTGACTACATCAGATCAGCTGACTGGGTTTATAGTAAATCCACTCTGGCATCCACATGAGAGGTGACGTAAAGCCTCCTCTGAAGAAAAAGTTTTCTGTGCAGTCTGTGTGATCTGTTAAAAACACGTTATACTGATGCTGAAATCAACCAGGAAGCTTCATCGAAAAATACTCTGTCATCAGTTCTCGATCACTCCCAAATTAGGAAGTGACATCATACTTTATGGACCCGTCTCCTGTGGGTTTGTCATGAATCTTAAACAGCGCTGTTCAGGTCCTCAGGCCTTTTTGTTCACCATAAATCGATATAAATGCTCACTTGTCTTCATACAGCAGCATGCCGTTGAAGATGGTGAGCGGCTCCACAGAGTGAGCCAGTTTGCCCATCACCAGGTCGATGCACACCGTGTCCTGAGTCTGCAGAGGCAGAATGATGCTGAAGACGGCCAGAGAGCCCGGGTTAACTTTAGCCTCGGCCACGGGGTTGTTCTCCAGGCCCTCAGGCTGATAGCCTCCAGAGTCCACGCGGGCCATGCCGTAGTTCGACTTTGACAGGACTGCCTCGATCTTTTCGTTCCTGTGACCTGTCAGGACGGCGCTGAAGTAGTAATTTCCATCTACAGGTGCAGTGAAGATACCTGCAGGGAACCGGTTCACAGTATATTAAAGCAGAGATCAACCAGGAAATGTATGCATTAGTTTAATATGTAACAGGTCGTTTTTTTTACATTCATTAAGCTGCAGATGGCTTCAGTTCTGATCAAAACTAGGAAACTGTTTCTGAACTGGAGTTCAGTGATCATCAAACAACATCCTAATTTTTGACCTTTAAATATATCACTTTACTTCAGTTATTACAAACAGGAAGTAAATATGGACATAAAATAACATCAAAGTAATTTATAGGTTAATTATCGACATCAACACAATGCCAGGAGAAGATTAGAGTCCGAACTCTTAACCCTGTGACTAGTGGACAACCTGCAGATGCAAGCTCTGTTCGTGCTCACCTGTTCTCGGGTTGTAGAAATTTCCTTCGTTGACAAAGACCTTGTCAAAGACGATGGTTCCTGCTCTGTCCATGGGGGCAGTTAAAGCAGCAGAGAACGACAATTTGGGGATTTGAGCATCAGCGCCAGGAAGGCCTGAGAAGATACAAAGACACAGTGAGACACACACGCCGCTCTGCAGAGAGAAACAAACAAAAGCCAGATCACAGTGAAAATACTGCACACAACTGTTCTTCTACTTCAGCTGGTTTTTCTCTTAATTAAAGACGTACCTGTTTCCCCTTTGGAACCTGCAAGAAACCAGAGGACATGTTTAGTGGAATAATAAAAAGGTGCAACAATAAAACCCAAAGCAACCAGTTAACAGTGTGTTTAACTTCAAATAGTAGTGAGAAAGGAAACAACAGAAACATGTCAGCTGTTTGCTTTGCTGAAGATGAACATTCATCAGCCTCCAATGATGCCTCTGACTTCCTCAAGAATTTTCAGGTTACAGTAAAACAAATGTTACGTCCAAAATGCTGACTTTAACTAATTTTATTACAAGCAAATTATCTTGTACAAAGTACTTGATGGTAAATTTAAATTTACTTGATTGGTGCCCATTCAGTTTATACCAAACCCATTTTTCCTCATGATAATTTGTTTGTATAAATAAACATTTGATTTGAAAATTTTATTATTTTATATATTTCAGTTGCTTTTTGCTCAAAATTATTGCTTACTGTTTACTAAGGGTGAAAATCATTGTTTTTGAGTGTAGTGAGCTTTTAGCCTGTACTTTTAATTTGAAAAAACAAACAGGAAGTAGTGAAAAAAAATATGATTTTAGGTATGTTAGCTGGCTTAGTAATAGCTTTACTCACGACTTTTAGTCTTCCTGTATATCACACACTCTATAAATGTAAAATATCCATCTCACCGGGTGGGCCAATTTCTCCTTGTGGTCCTGGAAATCCAGGGGGCCCTGGGAGGCCAGGCAGCCCATTGAAGCCTCGTTCTCCTGGGTGTCCTTGAGGTCCTGGTGGGCCTGGTGGGCCTGTGCAATGACACAAACCTTCAGCTTTATTGTAACATTTTAGTCATCCTGAAATTTTAGACTTCTCCTGGACTTGACTGGATATGAAGCCAAGAGACTTTAAAATGTTAGAAAGCTTCGTTATATTCACCCAGTAATTCAAGCGCAATCATTCGTTACTGTTCATTAAGTTCACTGGAGAAAGGGAAGCTGAAGGGTTTAGTTTCAAAACAGTCTTTTACAGCTCACTTGGCATTAATATTTAATGACACGGAACAACAGACGACACACTGAAGACAAAATCTGCAGGTTTAGTTCAAGCTGTTGTTTGTTGGCTGCTGATGCATCATCAAACAGATCCACAGTGAAATAAAATAAATGTTACGAGTTGCAAAGTGCAATAATAAAGTTCTACTGCTCTGTCTATAAAAGTAAAAATAAAAACCTCGCAGCCTCTTCCAACCTAGCAATCTTTCCTTCAAGGTCCTCTCCTTGAGCAGCCGTGCACCGCCTCCAACATGACTGCTATTTTTAGATTTCACAGCAACCCTTCAACCTGAATTTTATTTGGGGAAAAGAGGATGAAGTCATAGGCAAATAGGGTAGGTGGTGGGCAAAAGTCACTTTACCTTCTGCCTTCTTGGGCGCTACACAAAGTCAATTCACAACATTACAGATGAACTCTGCTTTGGAGGTTTCACTCTGGGGGATAAATTCATGCTGCACAAGTCCACGAATGTGAAGAAAGAAGCCAACAAAACAAGAGTACAGTCCTGGCGGATCTTCTTGTTAATATAAAGATTACAAGTGTGCTCTCTAAATACGTTCAATGTGAAATTGCACTAGGAATGAGGTCAAAATGAGCCTTCAGGAGGAAAATTTAAAAATAGAAGCTGAGCAGGAAGCGGTCCAGAGGTGCAGAAAGAGGTGACCTTTGAAGGAAAAGATGCCACATTTGAGTTTTTATTTTTTCATACGTGGAGCTGTGTATACTATTATTCTTATTATTACTATTATTATTAGTTATCACAATCCAGGCGCATATTCCAAGTGGAAACAGAGAACAACAAACAACATGTACATCTGACAAACTCTGGAGTTTCCTCTGGATCTGATGACATCACAAACTCCCTTTTAGCTTTGCAGTTAGTGAGTAAATCAAAAGAGCATTCAAACCTCTGCTGAGCAGTGCCGGGCCTAGAAAACAAAACACCATGAACACACTTTCTCACAGTTTTGGCTTATGTGCGTTGTGTTTTTTTTCTGAATCATTATTGTGAAACCCTCCGATTTATTCTGAGTACTGCTTGATTCGTCCTGCAGAGGGCAGAAAGTTACTGAAAATGTTTACTGTACTTCAGGAACTTCATCAAACGTCTCTGACAAATATCTTTGCGCTTCATATTAATAACATAACTGAGCAGCTCATCCTGTACATTTACTTTCACATGTGGTAAACTGTAGTAAACACGGAGAAGCTTCACCTTTCATCAGTCTATCTATATTAGATATCCTTGTGAGGATTTCAGCACATCAGGATGTTAATAAATATCTAATCTAAGAGATCTAAGTCTGTCTGAGAGCACTGTTGTAATGATTGGTGGTCCCCAAGACAAAGTCAGTACATCAAGCCAATAAAAACCCTGCAACCCTCTTTTCATGTTATTCAGATCAGAGCGGAGCTGTGCTGAGAAATCACACTGTAGCTGAAAACCCCCCAAACAGAATCAGAGGAAGGAGCAGCTCACCCGTCAGGTCATGCTCTGACAAACTCTGCAGGTCTCTGGAGACCTGGTTCAAGCTCGAGTTCAGGTTCTTCACTCTGCTGTGGATGTCGTCCTGGCCGTTCTGGATAAAGTCCAGCAGACCTCCATGACGGATAACGGTGTCATTCAGACCAGAAACACACGTCCACAAACTCGAAACGTGTTTGTTCAGTCCTAAACACGGAAAACATCAAAACATCAAAATCAGCACGAGGAACATATGTTCGTCTTTCTCGTGTAACATGACACACTGGGTACGCGGCAGTACCCTCAACTTTTTCCTCACGTCATCCAGTTGAAGACGTCAGGACAGAAAAAACACAGTGAAAGATGTTTCCAGAGAAATGAGAAGCTCACTTTCTCCGAATTCCAGCTGAAGAACTCACTTTCTGACCACAGCAACACAGCTGGAGCACAGCTGCATCAGCTGTCGGTCCGCAGCACGATTGGAGTTTTGATTTGCACATATTGGGCACTGTAGTGTCCCAGTAAGGACACGGTGCCAGCACGGTGTTGTAAATATATCCTGCAACATGTAAGTACATAGAGTGTACACAAAGATGAACTGCTGTTATATCCTTCTGGTTTATTATGTTTAGCAAAAAGTAGTTACTTTAATTAGCGGAAGTGATAACTAGCAGACAGGTAAACATTCTAGCTGACCTGCAACTCAGAGTAGTATCTATACCAGGGAAAGATGGAGTAAACATCCTTTCTAACAGATGCACGGGTTAGAAAAAACCCAACATAATCTCCTCTTCCTGAATTATTATTGCTTATTCACAATGCAAGTCTACATGGAAAAACAATTTCTCAAAAACGATGAAACTGTTTTTATTTTTCCTTGATTGATTTCTTTTTATACCCAATTTCAATATGTTCTCAATGTTGAATCATCTGAACCTCAGTGAGGCACGGAGACACCGGCACACATGTTGTGTTTGTTACCAGCTCAAATACAAATTTGCATGTCCAAGATGAAAACACATGATAGACTTTTTAAAGGAAGAGTAAACATAGTAGTAAACATTGGGGCGATCGTGGCTCAAGAGTTGGCAGTTTGTCTTGTAATCGGAAGGTTGCCGGTTCGAGCCCCGGGTCGGACAGTCTTGGTCGTTGTGTCCTTGGGCAAGACACTTCACCCGTTGCCTACTGGTGATGGCCAGAGGGGCCGATAGCGTCAGTCTGCCCCAGGGCAGCTGTGGCTACAACTGTAGCTTGAATGAATAGTGGAAGTGTAAAGTGCTTTGAGGGTCTCGAAAAGCGCTATATAAATGCAATCCATTATTATAGACATGACCATCAAAATGAACCATACCTTCCTTGATTTTGAGGATGGAGTCAGAGACCCCATCCAGCCGTCCGCAAACTCCCTCCAGCTTCGACAGCCTCTTCTCAAGCCCGTCCCCAGACCTCTTACAGTCTCCCATCTCAAGCACTGTACTCTCAAATCGCCGAATGTCCCTGTCCATCTTATCCAGACGATTCCGGTTGTCTTCGATGTGCTCTGTCAGCTCCTGCTGGACTTTGTCTATCTCAGAGATGATCTTATCCTTAGTATTTCCTGTCAGGATTTAGAAGGTGACAGAGTGAACACTAGCTGGAGGCATTTAATGCAAAGCTATGTTTGTTCCCGAGCTCGGCTCACCGAGGTCCGTGATGACGCTGTCGTGTTTCTGCACCGTGTGCTCCAGACCCTTCAGGGTGTCGTTGATGGAGCTGAAGGTGAGGATGACATTGGACAGTTCGCCCTGCAGCGTTTTCAGGTGGTTATTGTTGATGCCTTCATTCACGCTATGGCCATCTAAAGGCTTCGCAGGATCCAGCGGTCCACTGTTGTCATCTGTGCCACCAGGTCTAGCATGATCAACACCTATTGGGGATTGAATTTCCCTATGAATTATGTGTTCAAGTGGTAAAAACAAAAATATCTATTTAATTAAACTTTGCTTTACAGGATTTTTTTCCCCTTAAAATATGTTGATGTTTGAAAAAAGCAGTATCAGAAATGACTGTATTTTGGTCAGGTAGCACTCAGGAGCTCACTATCAGCTCATCACAGCAGCTCCACCATCAGAGCGAACCATGCAAATAACATGTCTTCAGACGCAAATAAAAGAGGCTTCTAATGCAGGACGCCCTGGTGCATAACTGCAGTTCAACACGTTGAAATAAGAAGACGCATTTGATCTTTGTAGATTATTCAAATGCAGATGATTCGACATAGCTCAAACACATGTTAGATCATCTCCTCTCTACAGTTCTGAATCCTCTTAATTCATCTTTTATTTAGTTAGCTGTAGTTTTCACACTGAAACAGCAGTGCTTGGCCACATACTGAAAAGACTCCAGAATATTCCTTCTGCAGACTCATCTCTGCAGTCACAGGATTATGAATACGGGGTGGAAATCAGTTTTGGATGTGACTGTGCTGTAGACAGTTTCAAGATGCAGTGCTAAAAATCACAGCGGGGGATAAATGTTTATATTTTTATATCTCCACCAGGGATAGAAATAATTTAACACAGGGACAGAAATGTAGTGAGGAAAATCCCCCATTCCACCCAGCAAATCCCTGAGTATTACATCAGAAGAAACTTTGAGCAGACATAATAGACCAATACAAGCTGTTCATGGACATCCTGTTAGAGCTCTGTCTGCCCTGTGTGAAAAACAGACAATTAAAACTGCCCACAGGATTCTCCAAGATCCCTCACATATTTTACATTCTGTGTTCGAGTGGCTCCCATCTGTGTCCAGGATTTAGGACACGGAGAAAGAGAGGCAATTTTGTCCCTACAGCGATTCAGACTCTGAACTCTGACCCTTTCCTGCCCCAGTATTACATCCCTACCAGTTCTACCAGGAGATGAGGTTAAGTTAAAGAACAAAAAACAGATCTGACCTGTGGTTATGTCCGGGTTGCTCTTGCATTGGTTGGTGCACCTCCTGACATCATCCCTCAGAACACTGACTTCACTCTGCAGGACTGAGCACATCTGGAAGCAGCTGTCTCCCTCTGAATCCAGTCTGTTCTGGATTCTGTCGATGTGGTTCTGAATATTGGATAGCGCATTCTGGGAATAATTCTTCATCTTCTGCAGCTCTTCCTCCACCTTCCTGCACAGCTCGCAGTCCTCGCCCAGCATCTCCACCACCGTCACGATTCGGTTAAAGTGTTCTCCGTGATCACCGGTCAGGGCTTTGATTTTACCGACGTCATCGGTCAGGTCCAAAACCTGGTTATTGATTTAAATATTAACAAATGAGATGACTGCATAGTCACAAAATCTGAGCTTCTTTGACACAAAAAGTCAGTTTATAATCAACACATCACAGTTTTAATTTAAGTGCGTTGATTAATATTACAAACTTTGTGAAATAAGATTATTGAAAAGGTGAAGATAAAAAAACATCCAACCAAGCAGCAACTTTTAGGAATAAAAAAACGACACAAAATAAAATCTGCCAATAAACTGCAGTTTCTCGAAATGGCCACTGGAGACAATGTTAACTCATTCACTGCCAGCCATTGGCAGTGAATGAGTTAAACCCATTGACTCATTCACTGCAATTGACGGCTATAGACGTTAATGGCAGTGAATGAGTTAAAATTCCCATCTCTACAGCAGAAAAACATGTCTACAGCCCGGTTTGATAAATCCGGTTGTTCAGTCTGACGTCACTAGCCGTGTCTGGGCCTAAACTCCGCTGCAGGTCCATATATCAAACGATCACTATGGCATTACTGAGAGTTGAAAAACTGTCTAAAGTCTTTCATCTTTAATAAAATGATCAGCGTTCTGCTCTACCAGGTGTAACAATTGAGTTTAACATCCAGGCATCCATGAAAACGGAATTTATGACATTTAACGGAGTTAGAAGTTAGCAGGAGTTAGCTCGCTAGCTTCTATCTAAATACAATATAGCATGTCCTGACTGCGGGGTTTTGGAAACAAATTAAAACGTACAGCTCTGCTATCACTTCCAACATAAATGAAGACAGAAAACTAAACAGCAGTGACGTTTGTAGGGTTACTGAAGTTGGGCTAGCTGGTATATAATGATGTGCTACGTGACCGCTAGCGACACAGCTATGTTAGCATAATATAAACAAGCTAACTTTTTTTCCACTCGATAAAAGTTAACGTGAGTGTTCTCGGTGGTCAGGAACAAATGTAATCGCATGGCAGGATGCTGTAAAAGGACCAAACTTCAGCCAGGAGAACAACTGAGATAATCCATCCACAATACGAGGTTAGTCATTCATATACTGCTGCATGGGCTGGGCTGTAGTTACATCCTAAGGTTTTAAAAACTGAGCTTAAATAAATGATTAGCGGTAATAAAAGCCGAGGGAGGTCAACAGTGATCACTGACTGTTTTAGGAGCTTTTTGAGATTAAATAGAAGAAAATACAAACATTAAACATGTTAACAACACAAAAGCCATATTAAACGCAGACTACTTTAGGCCCGGAAGTAGGATTCGTCACGTCATCACTTAACGACCGGATAGTGTCAGTCTATACAGCTAGCTTACTTCTTCATAACATCTCTGTGGGGTCTTTTTTTTAATGAATAACCCCTTTAAAGTTTAAAGTTATACAGCATTTTGGGTGGGACCACTTAACTAGCACAGAAATGTTAACAGAGGTGACCGTGAAAGCTAGCTGTCTGCTAAACTTCATGTCAGCTAATTGAGGTCACTAAACCCACCCTCTCAATCCTGTTCGAGCTGTTGGTGCCTTTTGGAGCTTTTAAAATAACATTATTTTGAATAATAAGACTTTCTGTTGCACATCGAGAGTCTTTGAGTTATTGTGAAAAATTATTTTCTTTGGCTCAGGAGTCCAATCTAGTCGATGCGCTATAATGTTAAGGTGTTTATACAGAGGACATTTATTTGAACATGCAAGGAATTCTTAATCTGTCCTGTAATTATTTGTTGTGCTGAGCCAGATGTATGACTCACCTTGTCATACAGAGAGTCTCCGGACATCGACAGGTCTTTGAGTTGAGTGTTGAAATGTCGAATCTGATCCTCGTTAGCCACCACTCTCCACTCCAGAGACTTCTTGGTTGAATTGTCTCTTTCTCCTACCGTTCCCGGTAATCCTCCCCCGGTACCTCCCCAGCGTCCTCCTCCCCCTGTACTTCCTCCTCCTCCTCCTCCGGCTCCCCACGTCCCACCCCCATCCCCTCTGTTACCCCCCTCTTTTCCTTCTCCTGTTGATCCACCCCCTCCTGCTCCCCAACTTCCACCTCCATATCCCCCGTCACCTCTTCCTTCTCCTCCTCCTCCTTGTTCAGACGCTACACAGCCACACTTCTCCAGCCTCCAGTTCATTTGGGAGGTGGTGTTTTCTAGTTTCGACAGCCGCTTGTCATGATCACGTATGCTTTTCTTGACCTGCTCCACGTCCAGCTCCACGTCTGCGATCCTGTCGGCCTGGTCATCAAACCGCTCCAGAAACACGGACCTCAGCTCGTCCAGTTCTCTGTGGAAGTAGTCTTTCACGTCGTTCTCCAGGTATGAGCAGCTCTCTTCGGTTTTCTGCATAGTGCTGTTGACCCGTCGCTCCAGATCCTTCAATCGGTTGTTCAGGCGTTCCTCTGTTATCATGGCATCCCTACCATGCCCGCCAGTTTCACCACCAACAGGTAACCCTTGTCCTCTGGACCCAGTGTTTTCGCTGCTACTGGTGCCACCTTGTCCGCTGAGCTCCCTGTCCAGGCGGTTCTGCAGAATATCAAAGTTCTCAGAGGCCGTGCTGATCTTGCGTTCAGCATCAGTTACGCGATCTTGGAGGTCACTGATGATGTCGCAACATCCCTGCGAACGCACTACGTCCCGCCGCAGCCCGTCCAGGCTCTGCCGATACTGGACGTCCATGGCGTTCATCTGCTTCTCCAGAGCTCGAATCCTCTCACGGTCCTGCTGCTGCTGTTTGCGCAGATCCTCCACACCGGCCTGAAAACATCCAGCAGTGAATTTAATCTTACTGAAAAACACCGGCTAGAAAGATTTTGGAATATCGGCTTATTTAAGTTGTCTGATACCTGGCAGGAGGAGCAGGACAGCGACACTCTCCTCTCCAGCTCGCTCAGGATCTCCTCCTTCAGTGAGTTCAGCCGTCCTTCACTTAACGATCCTCCAGACACACCTCCCTCCAACTCATTACCTTTCCCATTCACCAGGTGGTTGTTGATGCTGACCAGGGTTTTATCGTGAGCCTGTTGAAGGTGATACAGTCTCTGATTACAACACCAGCACAAACACAAACAGCATAACACATCTTTTCCTGTTTTAGCTTCTTTACTCAGTCCACATAACCTCCCAGTAAAGCTGAAAACCAGCTCACCTGTGTGCGGTTGTCCAGCTGGTCCAGTTTGGTCTGAATGCTGTGAATCGTCTCTTTAATCTCGGGCTGAGCGGCATCCGCAGGGTTTCTCCCTCCTGAGCTTCCTCCACCAAGTCCATTCCTGCCGCCCTCCTCCTGTAAGCGCTCATTCATGGTGCTCATGGTGGACTGAAGGTCCTGGAGATTTTTTGTAAGACTGCGGATCTTCTCCTCCAGCTGTCTCATCTTCTCGTTGTCTGCTCGTTAAGGAAAGAAATGAAGCAGCGGTTACAGAAACTTTTAATAAAATAAAAGAGTTTCTCTTTTATTACCATTTTTATCATTCTTTAGAATAGACAGAATCCTGTCACGGCACCAAGAGACACTTTCAGTCATAGTTTTTATTTCACACATTAAACAAACAGCTGCGGAGAATTTCTAGCAGTAGCTTCCTGACAGCAGTCAACACTGTCACACACAACCAGCTGCTTCTTTTACACAAATGCAAGCTTTGGTTGCTTTCACACTTCTCACATCTCTTGGAAAAAGATGCTTCTGCATGAAGATATCATATCATAAGTCTTTTATTGACTAATTAGATGATGGTGTTTCACTGGCAAAGCTAGTGCCCCTGTTTGAAAAACAAAGGAGACGTGTGAGCAGCTCTATGCTACTGAGAACAGAGTTCCATTTTCTCCTTTTTGCGAGCAGCTTTTAGCCATTTGGTTGACTAGTGATTGATTTACGAAGTGAACTGGCTCTCACCAGAAGAAGTGAGCAAAGGCTGCAGATTAGTTTTGATTGACTAATATCGGATGCTACTGTTTGCTGCAGTTTGCTGATGATTACTGAGATGACAGCAAAGAGAGAAAATAAAGAACGATTCAGTGGACGATTGAGTTCCTGCTTCAGCTCTGGTTTTTATTGAGTCCATCTGGGTCTGGTGTCGAATGTTAAGCCGTGTTAGATCCTAAGAACAGGGAGAATCTCACTGGGAATTCTCATAAAAGGAATCTCCGCTGGTTTTTAAAGTGTCTACATTCAGTCCCATCTCATGGTGCAGCAGATGGACTGAGGATGTGCGTCTTTGTCTTCATGCACTCCAGCCACAGCTTTTCTTTAAACTGCCGAACTTCATGTGAATAAAAGAACAAAATGAAAATCCACTCACCCGCGTTTCCTCCAGACTGTCCAGATCCAGAACTGCCTCCCCCATAACTATGCCCTCCTCCACCTTGTCCACTGGTCGTCCCCCCTCCCTGTCCGGGCTGAGGTCTGGTGGTGGATATCTGAGTCCCTCCTCCACCAACTGGACCAATGTTGCAGTCTGCTCCACTGTAACCATGGCAACACTTCCAGTCCATCTCTGTCACCATTTTGTAGGCGACTTTGTAGCGCGGCCTCATGTAGGTCCGATAACTGCAGAGAACCAGGACGAGCACAAACTGATGACTCTGATTCACACACTATGTGTGTGTGTGTGTGTGTGTGAGTGTGTGTGAGAGTGTGTACTCACACCACCACCCGGCTGCACTGTCCACTCCCCCAGCTGCAGGGATGATAATCAGGCTTCACGTAGGTTTCAACTCCATCCTCAACCACACAACTCACCGTCTTTGTGACCACAAACGCACACCAGTTCCTGTTAGACACACAAATATAACAGTAGAATCACAAAATGAGACAATCCCAACAATCAGGACAGAATACAAAACTCAGGAGTGAGAAGACAAAAGTCAGTGACATGCAGTAGTGGATGTAACATGAGTAGAGATGGAGAAAAGCTCAGTGAATCATGATAAGTCCCTCAGCAGCCTGAGCCTATAGCAGGAGAAGGGAGGGTTCAGTATCACCCGATCCAGCCCCGACTATAAGCTTTATCAAAAAGATCTTAAAGCAGAGATGTCTGTCTCCTGAACCCAAACTGGGAGCTGGTCCCACAGGAGAGGAGCCTGATCTCTGTTTTACTTCTGGAAACTCTAGAAACCAAAACGAAGCTCGCACTCTGAGAGTGAAGTGCTGTGACATCCTTAAGACCTCACAGCACATAACACAGTGTTACACTTCCATACATAAATGCTATGTTTAACAGTAAACCCACAAGCAGAATCTTAATAGAGCTTTGTAAAGGAGGTACTACACGTAATATTTACCCATGATTTGGGCAACCGTTAATGAAGCAAAATCTTACAGCCAACATGAGCGATGCAACATCAAAAGCATAAAAATAACATGCGCTCCCTTGAAATACCGTTATCATAAAATAAAATAAAGGGAAACGTTCCTAAATGTCATAGTTTAGAGAACTCAAGTCAGACATAGAACAAAAGGTGAGCCTTTAATTCAGACTGAACACAAAGCAACAAAGTCCAAAATTTGAAACCATCAAAAATCCCCAAACCAACAACAGCAGATATGCTGACGAGCAGAAGAAAGGACTGTGTAAAAGCAGAGGGCTGATTCAGCGACTGGAGACCGGAGGCACAGCTCAACACAGAAAAATCAGGCAGAGCAAGGAAGTAAAACCAACACAGGAAACAGACGATAACTAACCTTTAAAGTTAAACTGGGATCCAAAAGTCACACACTATACACGGAAATGAGAAGATTCGCATAAAACATGAAAACAGAGACAAGAGAACGCTGGAGGACGAAGACACAGAAAGATAAGACAACGAGAGAGGAACAGATAGGGAAGACTGAAGACACAAACCAGAAGCTGGTAATCAAAACGCCACAGAAACTCAAATAACACAACAAGAACTAAAGCTCAAAATTATTAGAATGATAATGAAACAAAACAGGAATCGCAAACTCTATAAGACATTAATTAAAAACTACAATTTCATGCTGGAGGGTTTGTGAATCCAAACAGAAACCAAAACCACCGCGACAGTAATGTTACGATCAGATAATCAGTTTTTGGCTTCTTTAAGTTAAACTTAAAATGTTAGTTTGAGTAATAGGTGAACATTTTCTTGACCAAATTCTTTCAGCTAACTAACTAAAATATCTCTTAATAATACTTCTCTATATTTCTGCAATGTTTCTTACAGATAGTGTTGGATAAGATGCTGGTGATGATCAGATAAATTAAGTGATGATATTTGATGTTTAAATTGTGTGCATTCCCCCAAAAGCATAAAAGTATTTTCATATATTTTTTATCCAAGCATATGATAAAAGAATAGTTTCTCTTAAAGCTGTGTACACTTGCCACACACACACACACACACACACACACACACACACACACACACACACACACACACACACACAC